GAAAGTAAGTAAAAACATAGTTAAGCAGGGTATCCTCCTTATCCAGCACTCTGCCTGTGTCATCTTTTAATTGATAGATATAATTATTTTGTCTCTACTTGGGAGCAACAGCATGAAAGTATCTAGTATTCTTGTCCCCAAAGTTAATCCAATTAGCATGGGCCTTTTGGAACCAATGAGCTTCTTCTTGAGCCCATAAGGTGTTGATTTTCTTGATTAGGCTTGTTTGTTGTTCAATATTGCTGACAGATTGGTTCTGCTGCAAAGTTTCTAATTCCTGCTGCAGTTGATGAAGAGCCTCATGTGACCTTATAGAGGTCGTTTTGCTCCAATTCTGCAGATTTTTCTTAAGATTATGCAATTTAGACGACAAGGTGAAGAGAGGGGAACCTAACCTGTCAGTGGTCCATCCACTAGAAATCACTTCAGGATAGCCATCGTGCAGTTGCCACTTTAGTTCGAAGCGAAACCTCCTCCTCTGCTTTCTGGGAATGGCGTGCAGGCATAACATGAGTGGGCAATGATCAGATCCCATTCTGGTGCAGTGGAATAACTGTGCGTTCGGGTAAAGCTGATGCCATGTATCATTCATGAGAACCCGATCCAGCCGTTCGCTAGTATTTTCGCTTCCCTGTCTCCCATTGGTCCATGTATAAGTTGACCCTTTGAACCCAATCTCCCTTAGCGAGCAAACAGCCATTAGTTCATTAAGGATGACTCTATCCAGTACTGTCGGAGGTCTCTTTCCGCGCTTATCAGCACTGTCACCTACAAGATTAAGATCCCCCATTAACAACCAAGGGATTGACGTGTTTCGTCGCATGCCCATCACTCTATTCCACATGGATCTTCTGAATTGAGTGTTAGGTTCCCCATAAACAAATGTAAAGTGCCAAGAGAGAGCATAGTCAGCTGTTGAACAACAACCATCAAAGAAAAATTTATCCGACTCAAAAAGAGAAATATGCACATCTTCAGTCCACCACAAGGCTAAACCCCCCGAGCGACCTTGTGGGTCGTTATACACACTAGAGGAAAACCGAAATTGTCTTCGTAGTCGCTCCAGATACTGACGGGATTGTCTGGTCTCCATCAAAAACACCAAGCAAGGGCTATATTTGAAGAGTAGGTCCTTTAGTGCCCTTTTCGTCAGGGCTTGCCCAAGGCCCTGACAATTCCATGATAAGATATTCATGGCGGGGGTGGTGGCTGCCTAGGGCCAGCCACCCTAACCCCTTCATCTTGTATGACAGGTAGTGTGTGCTCGGTTGATTGTGATGGAGCAGAGAAAAGAGTAACAAGGTTACCTGGAGCTGAGTCAACAAGCATTTCTGTTGGTTGAAAGGGGGGTTCGTCATATGGCTTCTGAGTAGGATGAAAAGATTGAATTGAGGCAAACCGAAAATCTGGGCGTGCTCGAATTTGGCGATTCAAAGCTTTAATTTGTATTTTGCGGCGAACTTTGTGCACCAACACAGATTCCTCCACATCTGTAAAAAAGCAAGGTAGTTCCTTAGGATCAAACACCGACCTTCCATGGGATAGAGCTTCCTGTAGCTGAGTTGGGGAGCATGAGGACTCATAACATCCGAAGGCCTGTAATTTAGGTCTCTTGGAAGCGTCATCCCCCGCTTCCTCCTTCCTGCTGCGTTTCTTTGTTGGAGTCAGCTCTGCATCAAGATGCAATTGAGTTTGAATCTGGTGGGATAAGATAGATCCTACTTGTGTTAGATCCATAAGAAACCTCATGTCTGGTCCATCAGAAGCCTTGGGGGGAGAAGTAATTGGGCCTAGCTCTCTCGGCCCAATATTGGTGCATTTCAAAGAGCCAAAAGCTTCTTGGGGGTTATCGTTTGTCTCTTTTGCATTCAATGATGCTGCATGTATAGACGGATTGTCAGATGGGAGTAATGATGATTGAGGGCATCCAGTGTAATCTTCTGAAGATGGCAATCCAGTTTCATTAAATGGAGGAGATAAGGATAGTGGAGAAGAAAGTGTCACGCGAGTATCGTCCCAGTGAGCTACACGCTCCGCCCGTGAGTTGATTGGATCAGCACACAATTCCCCCTCTGCAGTCGCCTCCGGAGGCTTTGTGTATTGTGTAGCCGTACTGGGGGCCATAGAAGACAGATTAATTGTGTGCATTGGCTTTAAAGATTGAGGGGACCTTCGAACCGCCCCAAAATGCCGCCGGGGGGAGTAGGCTGGTGCTCTCAAGGAAGGGCCATATGCAGGACGAGCTTGAGAAATATAGTTTCCATCTTCATCTGTCCAGCGATAATCCTCACATGTTTTCATGGTATGATCAATCATGCCACACCGATAGCAAAAATCAGCAAGCTTTTCATATTTAAACTGAGCCAATTTCAATTCCGCTTCTAAGCCGGCTATTTGGAAACTGGTTAGAAGAGGAACATGGAGGTCAATTTCCACTCTCAGTCTTAGGAAACTCTCCTGTCCCCCCAAGGTAGAATCATCCCAAGAGATAAGACGAGGAAATAGTGAGCCTATTCGTTTAGCATTTTCCACTGTCATAGCTTCTTTGGGCAAGCCATGCACCTGTACCCAGAATTCCGTTCTGGAGAAATCGATCTCATCAAAACGTTGAGAGCTAGGCCAATCTTTGAGAATAAGATGAAATCCCTTCACTGACCAAGGGGAACTATTAAAAATCCTCTGTTTTTCTTTCTCATCAGAGAGGATAAACACATAAGTATGCTTGGATTGCTCATGAAGCTCCAGGCCTCCTTTTGGACCCCAAGCACTTTTAAGAATGCCATACACCAAACCACTGCGAATGTCCTCGTGCGTGGTGACCAACCGTCCCGCAAAAGAGAAGCGATGCAGTTCACCGGCTCCGTCTTCGTGGGACGATTCCAACCTTACCACGAGGGTGTGGTCTAACGAAAGGGAAGCAGTTGCTCCCTCCTGAAAGGGCTCCCCCATCGCTTCTACAAGGAGTCTTAACTCTCAGCTGTTGGATAAAATTAAAGCAGTAGTTGAGACGACTTTAATGCTCTGCAGACGGTTTTGCTTTGTACAGCCCCAATAAAACAAATCAGGTGATTCAAGCAAGAAGAAACACCAAAGCTATTCCCGGATTGAACTAACGAGCACAGATGGAAGCGAAAAGTTGGATCACTAAACCTGAAGGATTCACCTCAGGATCTTCTTCATGGGAAGCCCTAGAGAGAAAGTCCTAGAACCGGCTCCCGTCTGGTTTTTACCATTTTTAATTTTACACACCTTTTAATATCTACTTAGTTTAGTTATTAAAACATAATATAAATATAGTTGAATTAGTTAATTCCTATATCTTATATTTAACACTTATCCATTTATAATTATCCTTGAGTCTAACTATTTATGGAGACTCAAAATGAACTTAACCATTTCTCCTCTTTTTTTATCCTTTTTATTGCTTAATTATTTGCAAGAAGAAAAAGGGAACTTCTTCAGTGCAACCGAGCGACCATGTCAGCTATGTCTTGATCCATTAAAATTTGATAACTCAATATTTTTCAGGCTAGCAATGCTCACGGACGATAAATGCCAAGCATTTTAAAATTGTTTTCTCTCAAATGTAAAGCTTCGTTTGCTTTTTTCTTGTATCCAAAATACATCAATCTTATTTTGCTGAAGCTTTGAATCCAAGAACCAAGTTCGTTTAGCCATGCTACCAATTCTGGAACTAGATCCAAAATTATCAAGAATCTTTGTTGGAAATAGAAAAGAAGAAGAATAATTTGAAGAAAGGTTTATTGTTTTCTTGAATAATACTGTATGTACAATGATCTATATATAAGTGTTTACAAAGAAAATATTCTAAGGTATAAAGTACACAAAAAGAATATTCTAAAGTATAAAATATTTACAATAATTCTAAATATAATTGTGTTCAGATCTTAACATCTCCCCCTCAAACTCAAAGTGGTTGTGATGAAACTAACTTGAGTTTGGAAAGAAGAGTACGAAAGCGTTCAGGAAAATGAGCCTTGGTATAGAGGTCTGTTGGTTGATCAGCGAAGCTAATAAAAACCAAATGAACAGTTCCTTGTGCAACATGATGGTGAACAAAGTGACAATCAACCTCAATGTGTTTAGTGCGTTCATGGAAGATATCATTATGGGCAATCTACAGAGTACCTTGATTATCACAATATAAATTAGTAGAAGAAGGCTGAGGAATGCCCATATCTTCAAGAAGCCATCATAATGAAAGAAGTTCTGATGTGGTATCACCAAGAGCTCTATACTTAGCTTCAATACTAGAGCGAGATGGAATAGTTTGTTTCTTACTCCGCCAAGAGATAAGAGAATTACCAAGGAAAAGACAGTAGCCAGTGGTAGATCGACGATCAAAAAGATCACCAGTCCAATCAACATCAGAGTAAGCGCGAAGCACAGGAGAAGAGTTGGTAGAAAAATGGAGTCCATGAAATAATGTTCCCTTAACATAGCGAATAATGCGAAGTACCGCTACATAATGAGTGGAGCGAGGAGCAGCCATAAACTAACTAACAATGTGAACTGCATATGCTATATCAGGGCATGTCGTGGTAAGATAAACCAAACTACCAACCAATTGCCGATAACAAGTAGGATCAGAAAGTGGAGAGCCATCCATAGGCGTAAGCTTGACATTAGGTTCAAGACGTGTAGAAACACTCTTACCATCACTGAGTTTAGCTTTAGAAACAAGATCGGAGGCATACTTTACTTGAGAAAGCAGGTAGCCATCATTTGAGAGGTGACTTCAAGCCCCAAGATATAACTCAGAACACTAAGATCCTTTATCTCAAATTTCTGACTGAGAGATTGTTTTAGCTCCTCAACACTTGCGATATCATCTCTAGTAATAATCATGTCGTCAACATAAAGAAGTAAAAGAACCATACCCCGAGCAGTCTTACGAATGAACAAAGCTGTATCATGTGGACTGGAAGTAAAACTAAACTCACTCACAGTAGCACTAAACTTGGCATACTAGGCTTGGGGGGATTGCTTCAACCCATATAATGCACGTCGCAATCGGCATACCTTGTTTGGAGAATGGGTGAGCCCAGGAGGTGGTTTCATATAAACTTCTTCTTCGAGGTCACCATTAAGAAAAGCATTTTTCACATCCATCGGAAACAATTTCCATCTCTGTATAGCAGCGATAGCAAGCAAAATGCACACAGATGTGAGACGAGCAACTGGAGCAAATGTTTCCTCATAGTCTATTCCATACTCTTGTGTAAAACCCTTGGTAACCAAGCAGGTCTTATAGCTCTCTACAGAACCATCAGATCTTGTTTTGATCTTATACACCCATTTACAGCCTATTAGAGACTTGTCAGCAAGGAGATCAACTAAATCCCATGTACGAGTGTTCTAAAGAGCCTGTAATTCATCTTTCATAGCTTGTTGCCAAAAAGGGTTAGAAGAGGCCTCTTGATAGGATTGAGGCTCATGTAAAGAAGTAATAGCAGGAAAACAATGATAATCAAGAAGGTAGTTGGGAGGGTTTCTTACCTGAGTAGGATGACTCGAGGATGGGGCAACAAGCTCAGATGCAATGCCAATAGGTGATACAAAAGAGGAAGTAGAAGATGGGTCAGAATTATCTAATGCATTACCAACAGGCAAATCATCTTCTATAGAACTAGATGGAGCATGTGGTGAGGCATTGTAGAGCTCATCAAATGTACCTGCATCAAAATCACTAGGAAATAGCTTAATAAAAGGATTAGTAAAAAATGGAGGTTGATGAAAGGATGACACCTTGAAGTTTGACAACGATGAAAACATAGTGTGTTCCCAAAAAGACAACATGATGTGAAACTTGGAGTTTTTTGTGACACAGGATCCCAACAACGATATCCTTTTTGTGTAATCCCATAACCCAAAAAACAACATAATTGAGCTCTAGGCTCTAACTTATTATGTTCATGAGGTGGAAAAAGAACAAAACATGCACAACCAAAACCTTAAGAAGATTATAGGTACGAAGAATACCATGTAAACACTTATATGGAGATTGGTTATTAAGGACTGATGATGGAATGTGATTAATAGGATAAACAGCTGCAAGAGCAGCTTCACCCCAAAATTGCTCTAGAAAAGATGATGAAATGAGCAAAGCACAAACAGAATCAGGGATGTGTCTGTGTTTGCATTTAGCTGGCCCATTTTGTTCAGAAGTGTAAGGACAAGATTGTTATGTTAAGGTACCCTGTTCTTTCAAAAAAGACTGAAGTTTAATACCAAGATATTCAATAGCATTATTTGTCACGCCCCAAGACCCAAATTCGAGGCGCGACAGACGCCGTACACTCGTGAGACGGGTCCCACAAGTGCACAAGGCTCGGAACTTATCATATCACACTCTGATACCATCAAAATCTGAAGATCAAATCTTTAAAATTCTCTCATATCATAAAATCTCCAAATACAAGATCATGATTCATATCTAAAATTTATATCCAATTACAATATGGCTAGCTTTCTAACTCGTCACTTCCCGTGGTTTCCCCGTCCTCGATTTCACTTCTTGAAATGGTGGACAAGGAAAAACTATGAGATAAACTCAGTAAGTAAATATGGAGTGCCCCTTATCAAACTTAAAGCATGCCAACACGTACAATCATGAAAACAGATACAATACGGGCACAAAATAGACGTCTCCTCTATAGGTCATGGCCAGCGTTTATAAACCTCCCACTGGCGGGCACACGATTTGCTGGTGTATAACCCCCACTAGTAGGGTTGAACGAACCGGCTCTTTCACTAACATGTCGACATGTGCTAGCGTTTATAAACCTCCCACTAGCGGGCACACGAATAACATGACCATATCGGAGACAAAACAGGCAGAAGTTAATAGGAAAATCACAATTCACAATCACTTTCAGATCATCAGGACAATCACTTAAATTTCAAGTAGGCATGCTCAATTTAATGAAAAGCGTAAAACATTTCACTTCAAATCAGTCATACTTGTGTAAAACGGGTTTAGTCCCGCCACCACTTCAAAAACAAATCAAAACATGCTTTTAAAACAGTACGGGCATTACCATAAATTTACTTACCTCACTTGCATAAAACCGAGCACTCAATCTCAATGCTAACTGACAGAATGATTGGGAACCTAATCAAAACACCTCAAAATTAATATCGAACTATCACACATTCAAACTGAAATCATCATTAGGATCATTCCTAATCACATGCTATTTCTATCAATCTCCACATGATCAAATATCTCCAAGATCATTCTCATATCACAAACTAATCATTTAAATTCCTGTTAATTGTTGGCCCTCGGGGTGTGAACAGTGTCGGTGAACAGTACCCGTGAACAGTAACCCCGACTTCCACAAATTGGCCAAAACACTAGCTTATTCTACAGGATTTTCTCCAACAATCACACAACAATCTAAATCAAGCTAATTTACACTTAAACCAAGCTTAAAACATGCTCAAAGGCTACTGGAATTTCCCCCATTTTTCCAACACAATTCGGACATACAAGGCAGCAAACTAAATGGACAATTTAAGCCTTAAAAGGCTATCACATACCAGAATTTACAAGCAAGGAACCGGAGCTAGCAGATTGGGGGAAGGCCGGCGGCATGGAAGAAGAAAGCTCACGGCTTTAACCCAAAATTCAAGGAAATAAGAGCAATTAACATAAACCCAAGGCAATCAAAGCTAGAGAAGGGAGATTCATGGCTGTTTCTTACCAAAAAACTGAACAAATCACACCCACAAAGCAGGAGCAGCCGAACGGTGAGGAGCAGAGCAAGGCAGATCCGAGATTTTTGCAGCAGAGGGGAAGATTTCAAGGCTCAAATCTGGTTTTTGGACAAGAAAAGAAGGAGGAATCCAAGCTTTCTCATCGGTTCCCTCAAGCATGGCTAGGTTCCCCTTTTTTTTTTGGCTGCAGCGGGAAGAAGAAGAAGAAGAAGAGCAGAATTGGGCTGGAGAAAAGAGGAAAAAGGAGAAAAGAAATAAGCCATCCTTATCCAAATTCTTTCCCCTTTTAAGTCCCTCAGCTTTCAGGATATTCACATTAGGCACCAAAACAATCTTTTCTCACAATCAAGTCCCTAACTCACTTATTTATTCTAGAAATTTTTGGGGTATTACATTATTAGTTCTCAAAACTTTAATAATTTTAGAGAATTGAGTTTTGATCATGGTAGCAAAATCAATATAAATTTGTGATAATTCAGAGTAATTTTTCATAAGGTATATCCAGGTAAAATAAGTATGATCATTAATAAATAACACGAAGTACTTGGAACCCCCCATGGTGGGTGTAGGAGATGGACCCCAAACGTCAGAATGCACAAGATCAAAAGAAGCAGTAGAATGAGAGTGACTACTTGAAAAAGATAAAGCTGGTTGCTTTGCAGATTGACATGACACACAATGCAAGGATTCATTTGGAACTAACCCTAATAAACCACGAGAGATAAGTGGACGAAGTTTACCGACTAAGATATGTCCAAGCTGTGAGTGCCACAAATGGAAAGAAGAAACGTTAGCAGCAACATAAGCTTGCAAAATTTGTTGGTATGGAGTTTGTCATGCCTCAGAACCCAAATTCGGGGACATGACAGACGCCGTGCACTCGTGAAAGGGTTTCACAAATGCACAAGGCTCGGAACTTATCCAATTCACATTTGATATCACCAAAATCTGAAGATCAAATTTTATAATTTGCTCTAATATCATAAAATCTCCAAATACACTTTAGTTTACAAGATCATGATTTATTTCTAGAATCTATATCAATCTCGAAATGGCTAGCCTTCTAACTCGTCACTTCCCATGGTTTCCCCGTCCTCGGTTTTGCTTCCTGAAATGGTGGACAAGGAAAAACTATGAGATAAACTCAGTAAGTAAATATGGATAGCCTTTAATTAAACTTATAGCATGCCAACCAGTATAATCATAAAAACAGATATGAGTACGGAAACGAAATGAACGTCTCCTCTATAGGTCATGGCCAGTGTTATAAACCTCTCACTGACAAGCACACGATTTACTAGTGTATAATCCCACTAGCAGGATAACAAAAACGAACCGGTTCTATTAGTAACATGTCAACATGTGCTAGTGTTTAACCCCCACTAGCAAGGTCACTAATAACATGACCACATCGGAGACAAAACAAGTTGAAGTTAACAGAAAAATCATAATTCACCAATCACTTTCAAATCATTAGGACAATCAATTAAACTTCAAGTAGGCATGCTCAATTTAATGAAAAGCATAGAAAGTTTACTTCAAATCAGTCATACTTACTTTTGTATAAAACAGGTTTAATCCCGCCACCACTTCAAAAACAAGTCAAAACATGCTTTTAAAACTGTACGGGCATTACCATAAATTTACTTACTTCACTCGCATAAAATTGAAGCCTCGATCTCAGTGCTAAACTGACAAAACGATCAAGAACCTAATCCAAATATCCAAGAATTAATACCGTACTATCACAAATTTAAAGTGAAACTTCATTAGGACTATCCCTAATCACGATGCTATTCCTATCAATCTCCACATTTGTTCTCATATCACAAACTAAACATTTAATCCCTGTTAATTGTTGACCCTCGGTGTGTGAACAGTAATCTGTGAACACTGCCCGTGAACAGTACCTGTGAACGGTAACTGATATTTCCAGAATTCAACTACAGCCAGCTAAAAGACCAGAAAAATGGATATTTCATCAGATTTTTCTGAGCAGAAACGGACTAAAAAGGAGCAGAAAACAGTAGCAAATTGCAGAATTTTCTGCGTGAACAGTAACTGGTTCGCGTGAACAGTGACTGCACTTCCAAAATTGGCCAAAACACTAGCTAATTTCACGGGATTTTCTCTACAAAAATCATAGCTGTCAATTAACACTCAATCACATAAATCCCACTTGAATTAGTGGTTAATTTTATCCTAAAGCTACCGGAATTCATCCCCAATTTTCAGCCAAATTCGGACATCACAAGGCAGCAATTTTAAATGGATAATTTTAGGCTTAAAAGGCTGTCCATACCAGAATTTAGCAGCCAAAAACCGGAGCTGCAGTTGGGGGAAGAGGCCGGCGGCAAGTGCAGGGGGGAATTCATGCAATCTACCAAAATTAGGAGAACCAAGAGCAATTAAGGTAAACCTAAGGCAATTAAAGCTGGAGAAGGGAGATTCATGGCTGTTTCTTACCAGAAAATCAAAGCAATTCGCCCCCACAAAGCAGGAGCAACCGGCGGTGAGGAGCAGAGCAAGGCAGATCCGAAATTTTCTCTGCAGGGGGGGAGGTTGCTAAGCTCAAATCTGGTTTTTGGACAAGAAAAGAAGGATAAAATCAAGCCTCCTTACCGGTTTTCCAAGGCATGGCTGGGTTCCCTTTTTTTTTTTTATTTTCTTTCGGGTGGGCTGCAACGGGGAAGAGATGAGCAGAATCTGGCTGAAGAAGAAAGAGGGAAAGGAGAAAAAGTTCAGCCATCCTTATCCAAATTTTCCTCTTTTAAGTCCCTCCAGTTTGGATGTTTTAGCTAATAAGCCCCAAAATAATATTTTCTCACAAGTTAGTCTCTAACTCACTTATTTATCCTAGAAATTTTTGGGGTATCACAGAATTTGTAGAGACTCTAATTCAATAGCACAAAGCAAGGTTTGGATGAATCGATCATTTGGAAATGATGGTGTATCCATTTTATTATTAGGAATATGCAAATAGTTTAGCTCATATAAATGCCCCACCTTGTGACTAGTTCCAAGAAGTTGTCCTGTCCGTGGGTCCTGAACACGACAATCATGAGCAAAAATTGTTACTTAAAGACCAAGATCACATAATTGACCGATAGATAGAAGATTATAACTAAGTTTTGGAACTAAGAAGGCATTTGGTAAAGTCAATGACTTTGTAGAAATAGTGCCAATGTGACTAACATTCATAGGGGAACCACCAACAGAATAAATATCTAGAAAGGAATTATTTGGTGACATTGAAGAAAAATGCGTAGTAATTGAAGACATATGGTTACAACAACCATAATCAAAATACCAAGGTTTGGTACCTGGAGCAGTAGATAAGGCAGTAGGAACATTAAAAAGATTTAATATCACTTGTTTTAGGGATTCAAGGTTGACATTAGATTGGCCTATCACTTTTTTGTCAACCATAGCAGTAGTAGGATGAGTTACAATCCTTTCAAAACTCGCCATAGAATCAGTAAAACTTACAATACTGAAAAAACTCTAATAAAATGAAGAAATAGATGCCAAGATTGAAATAATAAACTAACAAAATACCTCAGAAAGGGCTTGAGAATCGAGGATAAACAATCCAGTATGCAAGAGAAGAGATCCCAACGACAAAGTTTCAGATCTGCAATGGAATTGAAAATCCAACTCCAAAAACCAAACAACGATGATAAGAGAAAAGAACCAGGAGCTTATAGCTCTGATACCATGTTGGAAATAGAAAAGAAGAATAATTTGAAGGTTTATTGCTTTCTTGAATAATACTATATGTACAATGATCTATACATAGGTGTTTACAAAGAGAATATTCTAAGATATAAAGTATACAAAAGAATATTTTAAAGTATAAAATATTTATAATAATTCTAAATATAATTGTGTTCACATCTTAACACTCTTGACACCCCACCACCATCATGTAGTCTCGCAACAGGCTAAGTGTCGTTGCCCCGGTGTAGGGCTCCTAGGAGCCTTAGAGGCTTAGAACATTCTAATATACAAACTCTGTGGTTGCTATCTCTAGTATTTAATTCCCACCACCACTCTCTTCCATAGCCTCATATGAAATCTTGATCTTTTGCCTAGAACGGTTGAAACTTTTCATTGAATGGTAACAAGGAGAAAACTTAAAGAAAAAACTGGCTAGGGAAATGAAAAAATGGAATGATTTCTGTTATTGGGTAAGAAGGAATTAATCTAATTATTCCCTAGAATATTGCTACGTGAAACTGATTTCTTTTAAGAAATAATATTCGATAGCCTAGAGCAGATTTGTGGACATCCCTCCTCAACTACCCTTCCATAGCCTCATATGAAATCCCGATCTTTCACATAGAGCATGTAGTTCAAACTTTTCATTGAATTAATCTTATCACGTGGTTTCACTAAAGAAATATTAAAAAGAGAGAGAGAGAGAGAGAGAAATTAGATGAGAAATTAAATTACTAGTATTTATATATATTATATGATAAATTATATAATAAAAAATGGCCAAAACCCCTATTTGCACCCTCCATTTAATTCTTTTCCCAGTCAACACCTTCCAAAATTTTTCCTCCCTATTCACACCCTTAACTTTTCAAAATTCGTGAAAAACTCAATATTTTAACGCGCTATAACGGCACTATTAAAAAATGCACTACATGACACCCAAAAATTGACATGGCACTATGTGGAGTTGGTAATCCAATGTGGATCCCTTTCTTGATAATGTGGCTTATTTTGTACACACGTGAACACCACATGTATAGTGAGATTAACAAAAAATTATAATATGTGGTACCAAACAGTAACATAAACGTTATGTCACCTTATTAATCTAATGTGGACTTTTTTTTAATGCTGTGGCATTTCTTCATCTTTTTCTTTCCCCCTCATCCTCGGCATCATCTTCACCATCCTCTTCTCAATGGGTTCTACGGAACCCAGATTCTGGGTTTTGACCTTTTTTTTCATTTTTTTATTTTGAATGTATTTATCTTAGTTTCCTATTTTATGCAAAGCAATTTGGAATAATTTTTTTTTTTTGGAAAGGTGAGTCTTTTTGCTTGGAGATTGTTTCTGAACAGGTTGCCAATTTGAGTTCAAGTGGGATTAACATGAATGGCAATAACGGTTTTTTCATTTTTCGTGGGAAAGGGGTGGAAGATGCATATCACGTTTTTTGTGCAGTATTCATTTACTTATAATTGTGTGGATGAAGATCTTAGCTTGTAGGCATTTATGTAAAACTGGGTTCCACGAGGAACTCAGAACCTGGGTCCCACGAGGAACTCAGAACCTGGGTCCTACGAAGAACTCAAAACCTGGGTCCCGTGAGGAACCTAGGAGGATGAGGAAGATGATGCCGGGAAAGAAGAAAATGA